TGTGGAATGTGTACAACAAGCACTGAGGTAATTATAGAGAAAACATTCCAGTGAGTAATTCAAACCCAAGGTAATCCTCTCAGTCCGCCGGGACTCCTGGAGGAAATTAAATGTCGATCTGGATGCTGTAACCTTTGCATTCCACCAACCTCTTTTTTTGTTTCCCTACAAGAAGAACTTAGGACAAAAGCAACTTTCTCAGGTATCGACTTTCAGCAACACACAATTGAAGTTCATCCAGCACAATCGAGGCAGTTTCAGCAGAGCCGCATTCGTTTTCCTTCAAAATCAGATGGGCTGAGCGTCAATGATCGGCGTTCTTTTGTGTGAGCTGGTGAGAACAAAGAGGTCAACCAGGAGACGAGATCACAGGGAGATCACATGTGCCCTTTATGCCTGCTATTATAATGCCCATGCAGAAGTCAATGGCAGCCTATTCATAAGAGTGAGAGCGTGATGGTGTAAAGGACTCTGCGTAGGCTCATATTAACAAATCCACCCCATGAGAACTCCACAAGCGGCCTGAACCTGCTCTTCTCTTGTAACTTAACCCTCACTGGGATAACTTGCACAGTATAAAGAGTTATGACAGTTTCAATAACAGAACTATCAATAAGGCAGTCATTTTGGCCATTTTTAAAATTTTGCAATATCCTATATTTGTTGAAATAAAACACATAGTACCCTGACTTTTCTTAAAGGGATAGTTCACCAAAAAATTTAAATTCTGTCATCATTTACCTACCCTTGTTCCAAATATGTTGAGATTCATTGTTATGTTAAATACAGAAGAGAATCTTTTGAAGAATGTCGGAAACTGGTAACATTGACTTCCATAGTATTTGTTTTTCCTATTATCAGTGGCGGATTTTCAAAGCCAGGGGCCAATGTGGGGCCACAGTTTACAGAGGGGGGCCAAGTTATTCTATTGGTGCATCTGTCTGGAGCACTTTTTGTCTTAATAAAATACAGTATATATTACTATGGATATGCCTATTATATCCAATTATATATCAGTGGCGCAGGAGGTAGTGCTATTGCCTCACAGCAAGAAGGTTGCTGGGTCGCTGGTTCGATCCTCGGCTCACTTGGCAGTTCTGTGTGAAGTTTGCATGTTCTCCCTGCGTTCGCGTGGGTTTCCTCTGGGTGCTCCGGTTTCCCCCACAGTCCAAAGACATGCGGTACAGGTGAATTGGGTAGGCTAAATTGTCCGTAGTGTATGAGTGTTTATGGATGTTTCCCAGAGATGGGTTGCGGCTGAAAGGGCATCCGCTGCATTAAAACATGCTGGATAAGTTAGCGGTTCATTCCGCTGTAGCGACCACAGATTAATAAAGGGACTAAGCCGACAAGAAAATGAATAATTGAATGAGGTTTTCAGTGGTTAATTTTATATCTGCAAATAGCAGAAATATTGGAAAATCATAATTTTACCTGCAGCATTTCTGTGAGAAAGAAAATAGTTGCATTAACAAATATGGATGACTAGGGAGTGTTGTAACATGGGGTTAACACTGCCCATATTAGCAGACAGAAACAACATATTCATCTATATCATAGTCTCCAAGATCCCTTCAATCTTACAGGAGAAGCTGCATGTGTCTTTGAGCAAGATTGTGGGTTTTATAATTATTTCTTATTTATTTTTTAAGTAACTGATTCTCACGACAAACAAATATTTTTCCCCTAACATTCATTAGACGAAGAAAAAAAATACTTGCATAATCTAAAGAAGCTGATTTATTAGTTTAGTTTTACACTAAGCACTCAAGCTATCTTCAATCCCACATGCTAAAAATGAACTGTTATAGCTGGTGCCTTTTGGTACATTTCTTTTTTTTTTGTAGTGTGCCTAAGCAGTGAACGCAAAGGACAGACAGTGCTGTCCCTGCAGAAATCTGGCAGACGTTTTTAGTTCTGGACACACAGATTCTTTAGAAGTAACCATTGAATTCCATATTAGTTGCCCTCACAGTTGTTGTGTAACCTTCTTATAGTGATAAAAAAGCACAGTAATTCTAAACAGAAAGTGTTTACTTAAAAATCGTTACTTTCACTATTGATTTCGCCATGAAGTGCACCTTTACCGTTGGCAGTAAATCTCAAAATGGTCATTCAAAATAACGCATTTATGACAGCTAAGAGTGGAATTGCGGAAAATAAACGTAAAAAATGTAACTCTGATCAATGAATGACATGTTTAGTCGCATATGACCATTAGTTTTGGCCCGTTTTAAAATCGAACTGTACAAGCAACGTCGTAACAAGCAGCTCTTACATAATTAGAATATTACAAAAAAAGTAGTAAAATATAATTCAAAGCTTCATTCTAAAAACCTCAATAAAAACTTCAAATGTAAATATTACCTGACAAAAATGACATTAAATCAGTCAAGTCAAGTATGATCAGTCAGAATGTCAAAACATTCTAGTATTAAAATTCCAGTAGTTTTAATGTTAAAAAAACAAGACACGGATGTAATTCTGGCATTCTGCAGCTGTGAATGATTATAGTGATGAACACGATGGCATTCACAGGTTGGGAGCTCTGTGTGAGCTTCTGTATTTTAGCCCTGATTCAGCAATCAGGTTCTTTGTAGCAGGTCAGCACTGCGTTTCAGTGGCGAACAGAGAGTGGCTTTAGGGACTGCAGACTCATCTAATATGATAATGAGTCCAGCTCAAAGTAACAGCTGGACAGTTCTGGCTGCTACTATGCATGAAACACTAAACTATGAAGGCTGACAAATATTACACAGAATGAGTTAGGTTAATGCTCATGAAATGAAAATAGCTTACTAAAGAGTGAGCAAGAGGTAGAAAAAAAACTTTGCATAAATGATGGTTATAATGTATCATTTGTAGGACAACATATATTTGTGTGGACCACCATGAAGTGTTAACTCAAAGGCTCAGCTGAGCCTGATTTATTAATCAAGGCTGAGCTGATTTATTAATAGAATGCTAATAACACTGGAAATAGTTAAGGCAAGACACTACAGGCAAACAGTGTTTTTTCCTTCACAGGTTTCTTTTTAGTTTCTGGAACAAGTTCAATTGTGCAATATAGTCACATGATTGTATAATGTCATTCATTAATTCTAATGTTACAATAACAATACAAGGATTTGTGCAGAAAGAGAGAAACAGAGTATTTTTAAATATCAAGTCTTCGTATTACATATTTTAGATCTAACAAGACACCTGTCAGATAATAGGTTTTGTTTGATATTCCTGACAGCCTGCAAGCAGAAGTATAATTCCCCAAACCTTTTAACAGCAAGTCTACAGTAGTTCTTGTCTAGTACCTGCATTAATAGAAACTAACTTAGAAAGCCAGACAAGAGTATTAGCAGTAGTGGAAATAACATAGAATAATCTTAGCTGCACATTTCAATGCTGACTTTAGCCCTAAATTAAACAAAATGTGTACAAAATATTATAACCTTTCCACAACGAATCCATTACATTTTCTTAAAAAACAAAAACAAAAAGTCAGCATTAATTATATGCAAAGGCATTCAAGTCTCACATTCAAAGCACAGACACATTCGAGCGCTCACTTTGCAAGTTTTACCTTCCTTTATATTTCAGAACATTTAGTGGTCACTCCCAGAAATAAAGCTACAGAAGCTGTCACTGGGGAAGTACTGTGTCAAAAAACTTTAATATTTTTTTTTTAGGTCACATTAATTGCCATAAAGGTACAATATCAACCCTAAATGTACATACACGTACCCTTTAATTACAATTAAAATGAAAACCAATTAACCATTTTTTTTCTTATGTTTTAATGCACCTAAATTACAGATCGCATTACCTGCGTTTATTAGGAATGCTCTTTCCTTGGATTGTTTTAAGAAACTCCTTAAGACTCATCTAAAAAAGTTAAATTTATCATTTGTCATTTTTATTCTGCATTTTATAAGTTTGCTATTATACGTGTTTAATGACTATAGTCAGACTTATTAATGTGCATTTTATTATACAAGTTTGTAACTTTGTCTTTGCTTGCTTCATTTTTGGTCACATTTTATTTTGATGGTCTGTTTGTTAAATTTAAGTTACTTTGCAACTAATTCTCATCAGATTATAAGTAGACTGTTAGGTTGTAGTTAGGGTTGAGGTTAGGGTTAGTGTAAGTTGACATGTACTTGCAAAGTTTCTTATAGTCAGTTAAATGTCTGTCGAAGGAGCAGTATCAACAGATATTAAGCAGACAGTCAACTAATACTCAAATAGACTACCAAATAAAGTGTAAACTTAATTTTTTGTTTTGTAGACACTTTGGTACTTTGATTTTAGGAAAAGTGCTTTATAAATAAAATGTATATATATATATAATATATATATATATAATAAAAAAAAACCTTTTAAACGGGTATCACTCCAGTGCAGCCTTTATACCTTCTGCATGGTGCTACTAAGCTGGGATACAAATAAGATTACAGACAGGTTTGGTGGTGAGGGTAGGTTGGGTTGACGTGTAAGGAATGGTTCAACAGTGTAGTTATAGATATAATCACATAAATTAATTACATATGTACTTAAATGCAGGTATTCTTTTAAACATAAGTACAACACAAAACATTTATCTGTATAAATGTATAGTATGTATAGATACATTTATCTGTAAATGTAATGTATAGGTTATGTGTAAAGTTAAGTATTTATAGAATATGTATAATTAGTATAGTTAGATTACTGCTACGGTATGTTAGTTATGTATAAGCTCTTACGTCGAGTGATGTGTTCATATTTATCATCATAATTTTATTTATGTAGCACCATGGTCTTGCAAAACATAACATTTCCTTCCACTGTATGCTCACACCTGTAGTAAAATGACAATAAAGCACAACTTTGAACTTGCGCATTGCACCAAATGCCTCATATGAATGTAGCGACACAGTAGGCCATTTAATTTTTATGGGGACCCACTATTTTTTAATCCAATTCACCTGCGATGTCTTGCCTTATTAATAAAGTTAGAGTCTTACCTTCAGCTTGTCGAAGCGATCGCTCAGCGAGGTGACCTGATGTTCACGGTGGCGTCCCACCAACTTGCAAAGGGCGCAGATGAGCTGATCGTCAACCACACAGTACATGTTGACCTTCTCGTTTTCATGCTCCAAACAGGCTAGTCCACGCAGCTGAGCATCCGCCACTGGCTCCACCAGACGATGGCTGGTGAAGGGCTTCTTATTGGGGTGTGTGGCCCTCAGGCAGCGGTCGCAGTATGACACCTCGCACGTCACACATGTCTTCACCGCCTCGCGCGGAGGCTCCTGGTCACAGAACTGACACCCGACACGCTCGAGGGACATGGCGCTGCTGGCGGGGCTGCCCCTCGCGCTCCCGCCTAGCGTGGCGCTGTAGGGCCGGGGCCTGCGACTCTCGTTTGGAGAATTAGGCCCGCTGACAGAGGCCTTCTGGAAGCGGTCGATGATGTTCTGCAGTGTCACATTGCGCTTTAGGCCCTCCAGGCCGCGCTGGTTAAGCGTGATGACGTAGCGGCAGGTGGGGCACTGGAAGGCAGAGATGGACTCGAGGGGTTTGGTGCTTGAGCAGTGGGACACCAAGATGCGGTGGGCGCAGTTGAAGCACAGGCTGTGGGCGCAGGGGAGCAGGAGCGGGTCCTCAAACAGTTCCAGGCAGATCGGGCACGTCAGCTCGGACTCCAGGGTTTCCATCTTCAGTCGAACCGATCTAAAGGCGACATCAAATCCCACAGAAGCTGGTCAGTCACCTGTGTCAGCGGATAGCTACGGGTTAGTGGCAAGCAAAACTTTAGTAGAGCCAAAAGCAGGACTAAAAGAAATAATTAAAAATCAAAGTAAACGAAAAGACATTGGCTAAAGGTTTTTAATGAGTCTGGAACCAAGGGACCAAAAATAAATTAAAAAATAAATTAGAATAAAATAAAATAAAATTATATATATATATAACATTATATTATATTATATTATATTATATTATATATTATATTATATTATATTATATTATATTATGAGTACTTTTAATTAACATACTGGTACCAAGGGACTTAATAAAACTAAAATGAAAAGTAAATTGGGCAAAAAGTAAAAACTAATAGAAATATGACTAATATATACAGTCAAGGCCCAAATTATCTGACTTAAAGTTAGACTTAAACTTATCCTGGAGGTTTTTTTGGACTGAAAATGACACTGGCTTAGGATAATAAGTCAATCATGGAGGAAAAGTTTGGGCTTGACTGTATATATTTTTTTATGTTATAGCCACAAAAAAAATACTGAAACGTAAAATTTATTTTCCATAAATATGAATCTATAAAATATTCTAAAATTGTACTAAAAATTGTGAAATTATTATATATTGACAACTGAAAAAACAAAACTTGTTTATTTGCAGAAAAGCGCAACTGATTTGTAAGCAGCTTGGTTAATAAAAGCAAACATGGCAAGTCATTTGTTAACAACAAAGCATTATCTTTGGCTTAACGGTAGCAGCGTGTAAGTTAATGGTTTTACAAGGAGAAGAACATAAATGTCAAAACATGATCAAGGACTGCCTTCAAGCTGCACTGTCATTGTGACAGACGAGGATTAAACAGACACACAAGACTTTACTGTCTATTTACTACCATTCATAAATATCTGCTTTGGGCTAGACTAGACACACAGAAGAGCAGCACACACATACACACACAAACGTGCATGCACATACGTACAGATATCATTTTGGGGATTTCCCATTGACATAATGATTTTTCTACTGTACAAACTGTATATTCTGTTCTCTTACCCCAAACCCTACCCCTAAACCCAACTTACACAGGAAACATTCTGCAGTTTTTTAAATATGTCATCCTGTATGATTGATGAGCTGTTTTTATCATGGGGACCAAAATTCAATTGATCAAAAATCTAGCTGTGAGTATTGTTTTCAAGCTAAAGCCGTTTACCACCTCACGTTATCTGATGAAGCATATTAAATAAATACAAAATGATAACACAGTAAAATTACATGTACTGTATGTTTATACATAAGTTGAATATGCTGAAGGTATATTATGTTAAATCTTGCACACTGCTTGCCTACAGTATATGCATCTACATTCACCGGTCACTTTATTAGGAACACCTATTCAACTGCTCATTAATGAAAAATTCTAATCATCCAATCACATGGCATTAACTCAATAAATTAAGGCACGCACAACAATCTCTAGCTTTTACAGAGAATGGTCTAGAAAAGGTGCTGACCATGTCCATCTCTTTATGACCACAGTGTACCCATCTTCTGATGGCTACTTCCAGCAGGATAATGCATCATGTCATGAAGAGTGAATCATCTCAGACTGGTTTCTTGAACATGACAATGAGTTCACTGTACTCAAATGGCCTCCATAGTTTCCAGATCTCAATCCAAGAGAACACTTTTGGGATGTGGTGGAATGAGGGATTCACATCATGGATGTGCAGCCACAAATCTGCAGAAACTATGTGATGCTATCATGTCAATATGAACCAAAATCTCTGAGGAATATTTCCAGTGCCTTGTTGAATCTATTCCATTAAGGATTAAGGCAGTTCTTAAGACAAGAGGAGTCCAACCCGGTACTAGTAAGGTATACCTATTAAAGTGTCCGGTGAGTGTATGTGTGTGTAATGTTCGTATTTTATAATATTTATTGTCTATTTGTTTACAGACTGTATTTAAATGTATATCGTCTAAAAATGTATAAATGCTTAACATATATTGTCACTGATCATAGCACAAAATTGATTTGATTTGATTTGAAAGCGTTAAGAATGTGCATTTAAACACACCCAATATGACTTCACTTAAAAAATAGTTTAAAAGAAAGCCAAACCCTTTCAGGTAAAAGTCTCTTTCACATGTATTTGAAATCATACATTCGTGCCATCGCTCCTGTTTAAATGGCAAGGCTTTAGCAGATTACAATGTTTCTGCTTTGATGAATATGAATGGAAGTAAATCAGCACAGCACATCATTGAGCACAGACACCTGTGCCTCCAGCCTGACTGTTAAAATGTGTTTGCCTTTGCAGCTAATGAACTGTAGACGCAATGACCATACACTGCCTGGTTAACATATGTAGTCACACAAACAAGGACTTTGAAGATAATACAGATCGTAATTCAACTTTATTATTACCTTTGAAGTAGGGGTGTGCAAAGTTGACATAAGTAGTTTGCTAATGAACTACCAGTCAGTTGGCTGACACTTTATTTGAATGTGTCCTTGTTATAGTGTAATTTTTTACTAACTACTAAGTAATATAATTTAATTTTATAGACTTACTATATGGTTAGGGTTAGAATGCTGGTTAGGTTTAGGGCTAGTTGATATGTAATTATGCATAATTATTTGTAATCACTACAGTTATTACATAAAATATGCGTAATATAATGTAACTGTCAGTTGTAAAGAAGTATGACAATTATTGTAAAATAGATGTCCAGTGTGTGTTAACACTAACCATGTGTAAATTAGATATAGACAGATCAGTTCAGGCTTTCAGAACCAATTCTGTGCATTTTATGTAATTTATATATTTCTAATATTTTATTGATATAGTACTACACTGAAAAACATTGTTGCAAACTATTTATATGTGTTGAAATTAAACAAAACAAATTCAGTTTAGTAATGTTTAACTTAATTTGGTTGTTTCATTTCAGCCCAAATAAGTTGTTTACAACCATCGTTGAATCTTTCTTTGAATTTTACTACTAGTACTACACTCAAAAATGATGTTTGCTTTTTATTCAAACTATTTATTTGTAATAAACTGAAATGACACAGTTATTGAGTTTTTTAGACAACTTAATTATTATATGTTTAATCCACATATTTATAAAAAGTTAACTTAATTCCTTCATATTGTCCCAAAACAAACTGATTGTATGGAACCTAGTATTGTTTACAATCTAGTAATAATTTTTGAAGTAGTAGTAGTAGTAGCAGTAGTAGTACCATCATCATCACCACCAGATTTATGACATCATCGCCACTACTACTACTACTACTACTACTACTACTACTACTATTATTACATTTCAGTAACTGGCTAATATCCTTTTCAGCATCAATCAAGTGAAATTTTTAACAATTCTAAATAATATACTACAACATTATAAAATACTCATTGAAAATACTTAAACTAAAATGGAGTGTTTTAATGCATTAATTATATATTATATTATATTTGGGCCTATCACAATATCTATTTTTTTTTCGTATGATACTGACCCAAAATATAATGTGATACATTTTATGACACATATTTTATAATGCCAAAATGACAATTTAATATCATCATAATGCAAGTACAAATATTTAATTCTTAAGAATATTTAATTTCATTTAATTATAGTCATTTTAACAATTTATTAATTAGGCATTAGAATCAAATAATGATGATACATGTTAACAAAAATGTACTAGGTAAAAATAATTTTAAGAAACAGATCTATTTTCAGTTGTTAAACACCCACATAAAAATATATAGAAATTTATAGTAAATACTATAGTATTTCTTAACCATACTGACACTGAAACCTCCAACAGAGATTGAGAGACTGCACAATCAGCTAAAAAGTTGCTGATATATATATATATATATATATATATATATTTATAGAGAGAGATTTTTTTTGTACACTGAAAAACCTGATAAGTTAACTCAAACTGTTTAAGGAAACCAATTAAGGCAAACCATTTTAGTTTTGCAACAAAATAGTTTGAGTACTGTAAACTTATATATTTATTTATTGAGTCATATAAAAAACGTGTTAAAAAACATCCCATAATGTAAATAAGTTTTGACTTAATAAGAATGTCAATAATTCAATTTTGACATAAATGTCAGATAGAACTTAATAATTCTAAGATGACGATTTGTGTTTATATCTTCAAACATTTAGAGTATTAGTAACTTAAACATTTTAAGTTCAGCTATTAAATTTGTTAAGTTCAGAACAAATTAAATCCTATAGCATCTATACAACTACTCAAATGGCTTGGTACTAGAGTTAAGTTGAAAAAAAAAAAATATATATATATATATATATATTAGGGATGGGAAGATTAACCGACATGTATCGATACGCGGTCATGCGCGTGCACGATGCGAGTGCATCGGTTGAGCAGTAGAGGATGAATGAAATTTTGGAAGCAAATCGAGATGCATCGGTTTTTGCGAGATGCATCAGTTTTTCCGAGATACAGCTTACATTTTTAATATAGAATGTATTTTTTATTTATTAACAAGTGTTGTCAACCTGTTTTTGGCGCATAATTTAATCGACCTACATAAAGTAAGCCTTAGCAACGGATTTGCGGATGTGCACACACTACAACTCAGTGTATCAGGTGTGCGGATGAAGCTAGTGGAGCGCCCTCAGAAAGCGCGAGAAGCAAAACAAACATTTTATTCCCCACTGAGTTTTAAATCTAAAGTATGGCAAGCAACATTATGGATTTAAGGATGGACGACATGACAGGACAGATGCAATTTGCAAAATGTGCCGCGCATCTGTAAAATACGCGGGCAGTACGAGTAATCTGATATCTCACTTGAAGCGGCGCCACGGTGTTGTTGTGAAAGCATCTTCCAGTGTTTCTGCATCCCCGGCTTTCGTACTGCTTCAACCAGCTCCAAAAGTGGTGAGAAAAGCATTGCAAGTTTTTTTTCCATGCGCAACAGTTCTGCTCGCTCTACGCCAATAACGAAT